CCCCATCTAACAGTCAAATTTTTTTAATGAAAGTTTTAAAACCCTCTTATGTGGTTTCAAAATATCCTTGCATATTTTGCATTGAATGCATGAATTTATTGCTACAAATGACTCCAAACTCCTTCTAACAACCTCAAATGATTTAAAATCAATGAGGGCATATAAAAGGAGTCTTCAAATAGTTAAGAAGAAATAAGAAAGTTATCCAAACAATCAAAGAGAAATTAAAGCCAAATTTGTATTCCATTGCGTCTTTCTTTTATTTGAACACTATTTTATTCATTGTTAATTTTATTCTAGTGTTCTTGGGTGTATGAGAGATATTTATTTTGCAAACAATCTATCTTTGTGAGGATATTCAAAGTTTGCTCAATTTGTAATTTCTTCTTAGGAAGGGTTGAACACTTAAGACTTTGAGAAATAAGTCTTAGTATTGTGTAAGGTTACAACTTGTCTAAAAGGTAATGCATTTGTTGAAATCATTAGATAAGAAGCTAAGGTAATGGATGTAGACTTCATTAAGGAAGTTAAAACACTCTAAAATCCTTGTGTCATTTTCTTATTTCTTTCTAAAGCTTCTAACAATTTTTTATTGCCTATTCACCCCCTCTTGGCCACTTTCCTTGATTTGTTGACTCAATAATTAGTATCAGCTAGACTTTTTGGAAGGTTTTACCACTTCTTTAAAAGTTCCTAGAATAGTCAAGTCATCAATTAAGTCATTCATGGCTTCTACACCAAATTTCAACATTGTCAATGATTCAAACAAGCTTCCATACTTTAATAGAGCCAACTATACCTATTGGAATAATAAGATGATGCTTTTCATTCAAGAAAATGATTTGGGAGCCTGGAGAATTAAGATGAGAGGACATTTACTCCAATTAAAGAAATAGAGGAGTGGAATGAAGAAGAAAAGAAATGGTTTCATCTTGTTCCAATGCCAAGGAGATTTTGAACAAAATTGAAGTCACTCATGGAGGAACTAATAATGAAAGAGAAACTTAGATTAGTCTTCTCAATCATAATTATGAAAACTTCAAGATGATATCAATTGAGGGTATTAAATCCATAACCGATCGACTTTTGGTTATTATCAATGGTCTCAAAGGCTTTCGAGAAGTTATTTTTTATAAGAAGCTTGTTAGGAAATCATTATAGTCTTTGCAAGTCATGGAAATCCAAAAAGACCACCATAGTTTAAATAAAGAATCTAAATATTGTCAATCTAGATAAGCTCATTGGGTCATTACTTCTCATGAGATAATGGTGAAGGAAGAAGAAGAACAAGAGAAGAAAGGTGAGGAAAATAATGAAATGGAAAAGAAGAAAAAGATCGGTTTTGCTCTCAAGTATAAAAAAAAAGAGTGACTCAATTGAAGATGATATAGATGAAGAAATGAAAATGTTTTCCAAAAGATTCAATATGTTCATGAGGTCTAACAAATGAAAGAGATTCCAAAGAAAAGAGGGCTTCAAAAATGAATACAAGGAGAATGATCTTATTATTAGTTATGAGTGCAAATATTTAGGGCATGTTAAGTTTGAATGCCCACAATTGAAGAAGAAGGGATTCTCCAAAAATAAACACAAAGCACACATGTAGCTATATGGAGTGATGATGAGTCCTCCAATAAGAGGGGGGGGAGTAGTAGTCAACTTGTGTCTCATGGCCATAGAGGATGATCCAAGGTAACGTCTAATTCATCTATTTCAAATAAACATTCTTTTGATGAATTTCAAGAGACTTATGATAAATTAACCTTAGAGTTCGAGAACATGATTTCTAAGCGTAAGAAAAATATTTCAAAATTGAAAGATGAAAATGTTTTCATTTCTAAGACTAATCTTGAACTTGAAAGTCAAGTCAAAGATATACAAGTCAAACTTGAAGAGTTTAAAAATAAAATTCAAGACTTGCATAACTTACTTTCAAAAGTTCATGATGATCATTAAAAGAATCTTGATGATCTTAAAGCTTCTATTAACCATGTTAGGACAAAAAGATTTGAAAAAGGTGAACCTTGAAAACCCAACTATGTTAAAAGTAGCTTTAATTATTACAAACATAGAGGTCCCCAAAAAATATCATATAGAAAAGTTATTAGAAGCATATGTGTCCCTAAAGGACTCATTGTTACTAATGATAAGGATATCCTTAAAAAATAGATACCAAAGGGGACAAGATTATTGGGAAATAATGCTAATGGACCCAAAAGATTTTGGGTACCAAAAATAAAAACTTAATATATTTTTTAGGTGGATAATTGCTACAAGGCACAAAGAAAAAGTTCAAATTCATGGTACCTTGATAGTCGATGCTCAAGACACATGAGCAATGATAAGAGCCGGTTCTTGGAGCTTAAAGCTAAAAGTGGATGAGTAATAACCTTTGGTGACAACTCAAAAGGTCACATTGAAGGAATTGGTTATATTGGTACGAACTCTTCCATTATTATTGAAAAATATTTCATATGTGGATGAGTTGCAACATAATCTACTTAGTATTATTCAATTATGTGATAAGCGATATAATGTCTTGTTGAGTTTAATAGTTGCGATATAATGTCTTGTTGAGTTTAATAGTTGCAAAAATGTTGACATTGCATCAAATATGATTATCTTGTTGGTCATAGGATATGAAATATCTACATGGTGCATTTAGATAATATTGACATTTCCAATGTATGTTTGGTTACTAAAGGTGGGCATGATTGTTGGTTGTGGCATAGGAAACTTGGACATGCTAGCATGAGTATTTTTACAAAAACTTGTTCAAAGTAATCTAGCAAGAGGTTTGATTAAATTAAAATTTGATATTGATAAGATTTTTTATGCATGTGCTAAGGGAAAACATAAAATAACTTCTTTTAAACCTATTAATGATGTATCATCTGGTATAGTATTAAAATTGATCCATATAGATCTTTCTGGGACTATTAGAACTACTAGCTTGGGTGGAAAACAACATGCATTTGTTTTGGTAGATGACTATTCTAGATTTACTTTGGTTTTTTTCTTAAGTATAAAAGATAAAGCTTTGGAAAATTTCATACTTTACCTAAAACAAAGCAAAATGAAAAAGGTTACCCAATTTCAAGTGTTAAGAGTAACCATGGAACCGAATGTCAAATTCTTGGTTTTGATGAAATTTTGTAATTCTAATGATATTAGCTATTGTTTTTTAGTCCTTAAAACTCCATATGAACTTTTCAAAAAATAAAAAAGTCTAACATTAGTTATATTCATTCTTTTGTATGTAAATGATTTATTTAAAATAATGGAAAATATAATCTTGGTAAATTTGATGCAAAAAGTGATGAAATAATTTTTCTTGGTCATTCTTCAAATTCTAAAGCCTATCCAATCTTTAATAAAAAAAACTCTAGTTGTAAAAGAGTCCATATATCTTAAATCCAATTGAAGTTGGTGAATCATCATTGAAAGAAATAAAAAAAATGAGGAACCTCAAGATGCCCTCAAGAATCTAACTATAGAGGAAATGAAGGTCTCATGCCCAAGGGAGTACAACTAGGTCAAATATGATGAAATTTTGGGTGATTCATCCAAAGCGGTAACCACTAGATCTTCTCTTAAAAAATATTTGTAATTATGTTTCATTTATCTCATGCATAGAGCCTAAGAATGTCAAAGAAACATTAAATGATGAAAATTGGATTATGGTTATACAAGAAGAGTTAAATCAATTTGAGAGAAGTAAAGTATGGATATTAGTTGAAATACCTAGTAATTAATCTTCTATTGGTACTAAATGGGTTTATATAAACAAACTAGATGAGAGTGATTACATAGTGATAAATAAAGCTATACTAGTTGCTCAAGATTACACTCAAGAAGAGAGAATTGATTTTGATGAAACATATGCTCCCTTATATGATAACTATTCAAAAGAGTTATAATTTAGATCATTTTTACTTATGTTAAGTTTGTAGTCTAGTACTTTTAGGATTTTATTTATATTTATTTTAGCATATTTTACATCATTTGCATATTGGGATTGAATTATTGGTACTTGGTTGATTTTGATGTTTTTGCTGCAAATTAATATACTGTGTTGTGACGTTATTAATGTTGTAGTCATTACTATACATCGATGTTGGAATGGATTACTGAGACAATTCTGCAGCATTACTGAATCACAGGCGGTTGTAGAAATATTAGAAAGTGATAAAGTTGCGGGATTAAAGGTTAGAATTTTTGAATTTAAAAAGGAATTATCATTAAAAAAGGAATTTTCCTATTGGTGGAAAGTTTTCTTTGATGGGCTATAAATATAATATTTTCTACACACTTTTCCCATATTGGAAAGCCCTAGCCACCTTTTTTCCCGACCATCAACATGGCCGCCTAAGTCATTCGTCAGGGAGTGTACCAATAACTGTGTAGCAACGACGAACAATCAGGATTCAAACTTTCCTTAGTATTCTTTCCTTGATAAAGGGAGAAACTTATCTAAGTTTGAATTATTTAATTTTATGTTGTTATTTGTATTTGAACATGAGGCGTTCGATGAAATAAATATTTTATGATTTTTGCTTTGAATAATATTTTTATGAGTTGAGTTCTTTTAATGGATATTTTTAGAGATGGATTCATCCTTATGTTTGTCGATCTTAAATATTTTTAGAAATAGAAATGATTGAGATTACATGGTGCTTTAGTTTCAACATCGGTGTTTAAGACAGTAAACTTAAACATATGGAGATGTATGTTGCCAATTGTCTTTGCTTAATTAACTGTTTGATCGATTGTTTTAATGAAAGTTAATTCCAATTGGTTAAGTATTTAATTATTGAAGAAGGACTAATGTGTTAATTGTTGCATGACTCATAATAGTATTGTCATAGGATAATCATATTTTTAGCTACCAGATAACAACAATATTCTTTGGTTCATTGGTATGATTGCTCAACTTCTCGCTATATCATTACCCTGCTTTTATCATTCTATTTTTGAGTACTTTTCTATCTTTTTATTACCTACTTAAATACACATTACATTTCTTTTCTTTTTTCCAACAACAACTCTTTTGTGACAAACACTCTCCGTGGGTTCGACATATGATACACTTTGTGTAACCACTTTACTACTTGAATACAATACGTTATTTGCGAGATTGCTATAGCATTTATCATAGCATCAAGTTTTTGGTACATTTGTCAGGGAGCAACTATTTTACTTTAGAGTTGTTTCTTTGTTTACTGATTTGTTTATTTTCTTTTTGTAGGTACATTTTTTCTCTAGCATAGTGTTATTGGTGCATGACCCGTAGCAACAAACAAGATCTAGAGAAAACATACGTTATTGGTGCATGACCCGAAATCAAACATATGTTACGAGAACATCGTAGGAAAGCAGCCCATAATCGAGCAACCATTGTCTAGTATGGTGATGGTAACAATGTTTTACCTCCGCTACAGCATGGAGATGATGTTGAATTACCGCCTGGAAATGGAGTCAACCAACAATATTATTACAACAAGGATAACCGAAATCGGCCTATTCGGGAGCACATGGTGCCAACCCTAGATGATTTACATCTTGGCATTATGCGACCAGTAGTACATGATGTTAATTTTGAGTTGAAGCCGATGATGTTTCAAATGTTGTAGTCAATAGGGCAATATAGCAGTTTGTTTACTAAAGACCCTAAAACACACATTAGAGCATTCAGGGAGGCGTGTTACTCATTTTTATAGCAAGGAGTACCTGAACAAGCCTTGAAGCTAAAGTTGTTTCCTTACTCGTTGAGAGATAAAGCTAGTGCATGGTTGTATTAGCTTCCACCTAAAGCTATAACATCCTGGAATGAGCTAGCACAAAATTTCTTGTTGTGATTCAATCCACTAAATATGAATGCAAAGATGTGAAATGACTTGACATCTTTCAAGCAACTAGAAGACAAGAATTTGTATAAGGCATGGGAAAGATTCAAGGACTTGCTACACAAATGCCTAATGCACGAATTCTCTCATTGGACATAAATGGAAATATTCTATAATGGGTTGAACAAGCACACTCGAATGGTAGTTGATACTTCAACAAATGGAGCATTGATATATAAGACATATAATGAGGCTTATGATATTTTGGAAAAAATATTAAATAATGATTATCAATATCCAAACACTAGGAACAAGTTCGTCAGATGCGTTGCTGCAGTAATGGATAGCGATGCTCTGAACACACTAACCACAGGTGACAACTTTGACTAAAATGATGAAGAACATGCAAAAGCCTGGAGGTAGGTATGAGGTAAAAGATTCATCTCTTGTCAATTGTGTTTATTGTGGTGATAATCATAATTTTGAAGAATATCCACAAAACCTCGAGTCTATGTATTTTTTGAGAAATTACAATAGGAACGACAATGCTTGTGGGAACACCTACAATCCGAACTTCTGAAATCATCCCAACTTGTCTTGGAAGAGTCGAAATGTAGCCAACCCCTATATAAAATTACAATCAAATTAAGGGAATAAACAAAAGCATTATGCACATCAACATTACAATCAATAGTTGATGCCTCAGTATTAGACACAGCGACAAGTTGTACAACCATAGCAGAATTATCAATAGTAGTCTTTCAACCAAGCTTCATCTTTAACATCTACAATACTTGAGTCTCTACTGAAGGAGTACATCTAGAGGAATGAAACTATGATACAAAGTTAGACAACATCGTTGAGGGCATTGGAAAATCAAGTAGGGTAGTTAACAAATGCTTTAAGTAGTAGATAGTAAGGACAATGCCTATCGACATCAAGAATCCAAAGGCCCATGGGAAAACTCATTGCTACAAGCATTGCAAAACCATCACAACTCGAAGCAATCTCCATATTAAGAAGCCTAATGAGGAGCCTAAGAAGAAGGATGATGTTGGGCTTAGGAAACAAATTAAAGGCAAAGAAACAAAGTGGACCTTGAATCGATTATTGATGTTACAAAAACGAATATAGGACAGTTCAGTAATTCTAGACTATTACCAGCAACAATACCGACAACACTACTTGTAATGCCACGAGTATCATCAATACAACAAATTCAATACCTCCACTACCATTTCCTCAACGATTCAAAAACACCAAGGATGACCAGTAATTCAAAAACTTTATCAAAGTGCTGAGACAATTGACAATCAACATTCCATTAATTGATGCATTGTAGTAAAAATCTGAATTACACACAATAGCAAAATAGAGTTTTAGCAGCGCTTTTTTAATCCTATAGCGACGTTTTTAAGCGCCACTAAAAGCACTTGCGGCGATAGAAAAAACACCGCAAGAAGCGCCGCTAAAGTTAGCGGTGTTTTTGGTTCAAAAATTCCGCCATAGGTAAAGATTTATAACGGCGTTTTTTGAACAAATGACGCAAAAAATCGATATCTATAGCGGCATTTTTTGGAACAAACGCCGCAAAAGGTCAAGATATATTGTAGCGTTTTGGAACAAACGCCGTAAAAGGTCGAGATCTATAGAGACATTTTTTGAACAAACGCCACAAAAGGTCGAGATCTGTAGCGGTGTTTTTACCTCTATCGCGCCGTTTTTGGGAAAAACGCTGTAAAAGGTTAGATTTATAATGGCGTTTTTGGATACAAACGCCGCTAATTGCCTTTCTATAGCTAAGATTAATTGATTTTGCATATTTCATTTCTGTTGTACATCACTTAAATTTAATATCATGTATATTTATCTAATTAACAACAACCATATATTTTAATTAATACACAAGTTATGCAGAAAAATACCTAACAACAAAATAAATTAAAGTTTATAAAAATTAAAATTAAAAGTAATGTAGTTTGACATTGTTCTCTAGAATTTAGTCTAGCTTCTTGCACTTTCAACTAAAAAAAATATTGTTCACTAGAATTTAATCTTCATTGCTCCTTCGTGGGGAAAGGAAGTAAAAAATAGTTCTCCTAGCTCCGGTTCACCAAGAAGACTCCTTGCGCGCTTCAGTGCTTCTCTTGAAATAGATAACGACCTTCCACTTATAGTAGGAAACTTGATTGGAGGATTTTAACTCTAAAAGAGCACTCATCACCTGTAATGAACATAGGCTATCACAAAGACACCACTGAAAACTTTCCTCAATCTCAGCCTGTACAAAATGTTCCTAATTTTTGGATGCATATCATTTTTGCTGCAACAAAGGGGAAAAAATCAGACTGAAAATTTTGGAAGCAAAAATATTGAACAAAAACAAGATGCACATGGTCATCAACCCTTGTATACGTGTGATGAAAAGTAAATTTGACCTCAGTTTTGGTATCATCGACTTTGGCCCCTTTGCCCTCTGTTTCATTCTGATCAGATCCAACTCCTAAAACCCAAAAATAGATTTAGATTACCATTACCTTAATTAGCTATCTTAAAAAACCAGTCAAGCTACACACGACTTCATTAGGATTAACATTACTCAAGTAGGGAATTTGAAACATGACTCGAGCTCGATTTTGGAAACAGATAAAATGAACCAAATCATATGTATACATCCATATCAAATAAAATAATAAAAATCCAAAATCTATGTTAGGCTCACGAGTTACTCGATTCAACAGTTAATGATAAACAAACTTGACTCAATTGATTACTCTTATTTTGCCTTGAAAATATTAGACAAAATATATAGTCGAGCACAAGATGCAGTGAAAGAGAGACACAAAAAAATCGATATCTATAGCAGCGTTTTTTTGGAACAAATATCGCAAAAGGTCGAGATATATAGTGGCGTTTTCGGAACAAACGCCGCAAAAGATCGAGATTTATAGCGGTGTTTTTACCTCTTTCCAAAAATGCCGCAAAAGGTTAGATCTATAGCAGTGTTTTTGGATACAAATACCACTAATTACCTTTTTATAGCTAAGATTAATTGATTTTACATATTTCATTTATGTTGTACATCACTTAAATTTAATGTCATGTAGATTTATCTAATTAACAACAACTATATATTTTAATTAATACACAAGTGATGCAGAAAAATACTTAACAACAAAATAAATTAAAATTTATAAACATTAAAATTAAAAGTAATGTAGTTTGACATTGTTCTCTAGAATTTAGTCTAGGTTCTTTCACTTTCAACTAAAAAAACTAGAATTTAATATTCATTGCTTCTTCGTGGGGAAAGGAAGTAAAAAACAATTCTCCTAGCTCCGGTTCACCAAGAAGACTCTTTGCGCGCTTCAGTGCTTCACTTGAAATAGATAACGACCTTCCACTTACAGTATGAAACTTGATTGGAGGATTTTGACTCTAAAAAGAGCACTCATTACCTGAAATGAACATAGGCTATCACAAAGACACCACTGAAAACTTTCCTCAATCTCAACATGTACAAAATGTTCCTAGTTTTTGGATGCATATCATTTTTGCTGCAACAAAGGGGAAAAATCAGACTGGAAATTTTGGAAGCAAAAATATTGAACAAAAACAAGATGCACAAGGTCATTGACCCTTGTATACGTATGATGAAAATTAAATTTGACCTCAGTTTTGGTATCATCGACTTTGGGCTTTTTGCCCTCTATTTCATTTTGATCATATCCAACTCCTAAAACCCAAAAATAGATTTAGATTACCATTACCTTAATTAGCTATCTTAAAAAACCAGTCAAGCTACACACGAATTCATTAGGATTAACATTACTCAAGTAGGGAATTTGAAACATGACTCGAGCTCGAGTTTGGAAACAGATAAAATGAACCAAATCATATGTATACATCCATATCAAATAAGATAATAAAAATCCAAAATCTATGTTAGGCTCACGAGTTGCTCGATTCAATCGTTAATGATAAACAAACTTGACTCAATTGATTACTCTTATGTTGCCCTGAAAATATTAGACAAAATATATAGTCGAGCACAAGATGCAGTGAAAAAGAGACTCAATTAATCTTATCTATAGAAAGGTAATTAGTGGTGTTTGTATCAAAAAACACCGCTATAGATCTAACTTATTGCGGCGTTTGTTCCAAAAATGCCACTATATAATATCGGCCTTTTGTGACGTTTGTTCCAAAAAACGCTGCTATAGATATCGATTTTTTTGTGTCTCTTTTTCACTGCATCTTGTGCTCGACTATATATTTTGTCTAATATTTTCAGGGCAACATAAGAGTAATCAATTGAGTCAAGTTTGTTTATCATTAACGGTTGAATCGAGCAACTCGTGAGCCTAACATAGATTTTGGATTTTTATTATTTTATTTGATATGGATGTATACATATGATTTAGTTCATTTCAAATTCCCTACTTGAGTAATGTTAATCCTAATGAAGTCGTGTGTAGTTTGACTGGTTTTTTAAGATAACTAATTAAGGTAATGGTAATCTAAATCTATTTTTGGGGGAAAGGAAGTAAAAAACAATTCTCCTAACTCCGGTTCACCAAGAAAACTCCTTGCGCGCTTCAGTGCTTCACTTGAAATAGATAACAACCTTCCACTTACAATATGAAACTTGATTTGAGGATTTTGACTCTAAAAATAGCACTCATTACCTGAAATGAACATAGGCTATCACAAAGACACCACTGAAAACTTTCCTCAATCTCAGCCTGTACAAAATGTTCCTAGTTTTTGGATGCATATCATTTTTGCTGCAACAAAGGGGAAAAAATCAGACTGAAAATTTTGGAAACAAAAATATTGAACAAAAACAAGATGCACAAGGTCATCGACCCTTGTATACGTATGATGAAAAGTAAATTTGACCTCAGTTTTGGTATCATCGACTTTGGGCTCTTTGCGCTCTATTTCATTCTGATCAGATCCAACTCCTAAAACCCAAAAATAGATTTAGATTACCATTACCTTAATTAGCTATCTTAAAAAACTAGTCAAGCTACACACGACTTGATTAGGATTAACATTACTCAAGTAGGGAATTTGAAACATGACTCGAGCTCGAGTTTGGAAACAGATAAAATGAACCAAATAATATGTATACATCCATATCAAATAAAATAATAAAAATCCAAAATCTATGTTAGGCTCACGAGTTGCTCGATTCAACCGTTAATGATAAACAAACTTGACTCAATTGATTAATCTTATGTTACCCTGAAAATATTAGACAAAATATATAGTCGAGCACAAGTAGCAGTGAAAGAGAGACAGAGATAAGGTTAGAGATCATAATCAGATGAAAGCTTAAGAAAGAATATGAATTCATGACTTTTCCTTTGTCAAACAAGTCATGCTTTTACTTCTACTTGGGCAGAAACATCTCTTTCATGGCACATCCTTAAAATGACCATCTCTTAAATACGTAGACAATACTAGAGAAAATTATACATTTAAACATATTTTTCATACAAACAGTGCCCTACTCATGCAAAGGCCAAGGCAGAAGCCATGACTGCAATAAGGAATACAAAGTTTCCTAAACTAGAAAGCAAGGAAAATATAATAAATAAAATAGCCAATGAATTTGGGATTCAGAGAAGGCTACCTCTCGAAAGTATCCTGCCAGTATTGTGTTATAAATACTACATGTGGATGTGACATTGAATTTCTTCATGTCATTGAGCATTATGTATGCTCCGCTGAACTGCATTAAGTAGAAAAATGCATACAACTTAACCTTTTATCTTAAGCATGAAGCATGAATCAATGACACCCATGGGCAACTTTTCAGAAAGAACCAAAGCCCTTAACCTTTTATCTTAAGCAATATCAAATTCTAACAAATGAACTAATATACTTTTTACTGAGTAAAAACTTGTATGAATTGGCCAATGACCTCAAAATGTAACCCCTGAGATGTATATTGGAAACCACATATCCCATCCTTTCAAGCTTCCCTGTATCTCGTTATGATCTTACAAAACCCTAGTACAAATCCCACAAAATTTTACCATCACATTTTATTTGTAATTTTTTCATTACTAAAGAAAGAATTAAAATTTGGACTTTTTGCTCCTTTAACTTGAAATAAATATTGACATACCTTGTGTAACTCACAGCAAAAGGTAATGATCTTCTCATATGATGCAGATGAAGGTGTTATCTTGAATTTCATGTGCAAGCTTTTGAATTTCAGAAACAAATCATGAACCTGCAATAGATAACGAGTGTAGAGACATAAAATGGATAAGAAGCTATAAGACAAGAAAATGACTTAACTACTTACAGAAACCCCTTTCAACTCCCAAATAAGTAAAAGAACTTGCAGGCAAGTGGCAAAAATAATTCACAAGCAAGATTGCTTACAATCAGGATGCATATAAATAGTTTAAGCATGAACAAGAAACTGGCATGCCACCTCAGAAATCTCAAATTTATCAATTAAAAGTAAAGGAGGCATTGCTTCCAGAAATGAACATTAGATACTAAAAAGAAAAACCATTGATTGCACAGCTCAAGATCTATCTTTAGTTTTACCAGTTTATCTCAAGGCTGTTCCAACTAATTGGCTGTCTAGCTAGTTTCACAGAATCGGATTCACTACTTGAAATGGAGACAATCTCGTGAAATTATATTGTCACCAATTACGCAGGAGCTTTACTATTATGTTATTTGTTTATCTCAATCTTATTTAATAATTATTTGACATATAAATATAGGGGTAGGAGTATAAGTTATTTTTGAGGTTTAAATAGAGAGAAACTAGAGGGTTTCTACAACCCTACATTTTTCCAGAGTTCCAACTTTCTACTCTCCTTTTTTCAGTCTTGATTCAGCTGATTAGTGTTGTTTTCCCCCTAAACCACATCAACCAACAAGGGATCAAATTGGTTAGCAACAAAAGACATCAATAACACTGTTGGAACAATGCTATTAGTGTTCCGGGTGCCATAAACACAATCAAACTTTCCATTTTAACACACAAGCAAAACTGCATGCGTTGCATAGAATCAGCCTGAAGGAAATTACCAGCAGCTTTCATGAGAAGTTCCTCACCTCTAAATTAGGAATGCCGCTGACATAACTAAAGATGAGCCTTGAGATATCAACCAAATCGTAATCTGCTTTATCAGATTTGTCATATTTAAAAATGCATACAAGAAAAGAGTGTATACATTTCATCCTCGAGCTCAGCTTAAAAAACCAGTCAAGCTACACACGACTTGATTAGTATTAACATTACTCAAGTAGGGAATTTGAAACATGACTCGAGCTCGAGTTTGGAAACAGATAAAATGAACCAAATCATATGTATACATCCATATCAAATAAAATAATAAAAGTCCAGAGTCCAAAATCCATGTTAGGCTCACGAGTTGCTCTATTCAACCGTTAATGATAAACAAACTTGACTCAATTGATTACTCTTATAAAAGACTAAATTAGAATTATCATTACCCAAAAGAAGAACTTGAAACTTGACTCTAAAAAGAGTTAAAACACACAAATTTGAAAACATGTAAATAAAACACACAACTTGACTCTAAAAAGAGCACTCATCACCTGAAATGAACATAGGCTATCATAAAATACTATGTAAATAAAAAATATAGAAACACCTAAAATAGTTTAGCATGCAATATTCTTAAGCTCAATGAGTGCAATTGTTATAAAGATATGTGAATTTCAATTTGCAGGACAAACTCTCAAAAGAAGCAATGGCGAATTATAACAAAATATCTAGATTATATAAAACAGGGAAGTCGACTCAACTAAGGTTGGATTTGAATCAAAGATGTCGGTGACATGTTATTTTTCTCTGCTCTGCTGATTTACGGTGTAATATACAGATAACTGGATTTGAAGCTATAAAGAGATGTGCATTCCAGAATGAATGAAAGAAAAATAAGACAACCTATATAAGTTAGAATACCATGGGTCCTCTCCACACGATTGGCGCATCCTTATCCACCAGAAATCCCATTGACATACACTTCACTCCATAATTCTCAATAGGAATCATCTTCATATCTGTATGTAAGTTTCGAGAAAGAGTTTCTTGGGAAATTTGGAAAAGGATGTTTACTAAACAACAAATGATATTGATAAAAGGGCAAAGTGACGCCAGACAGAATAACGATTATCCTGTAGGCTAGTTCCAACAGGTGATTCACAAGAGAAAATTCGCCCAAAAACCAGAGAAAAAGTCTCTAGAGTTTAATAAAATATTAAAAAATCAAAAACTATCCAAAATCAATCCACAAGCCGGACTGTTATAGCCAAAAATCTTGTTTATCGGAATTTTACCTAAAAATAGCAAAATCCCGAAAATCACTCTAAATTGAAATTCAAAATAAAATAAGCAATATGCAAAAAATCCGGTCGAAATCGGATTTATAATGACTTCCTAATTGACAATCGAAATATTACCATAAATAGTAAAAAATATCTAAATCTAGTGATTCGGAAGGGAAACCCGTAGAATTTGAGGTCGAAAAAAAGGCCACATAGAGAATAGCTCATGTGGACAGCGTGCGTGTCGAAAAGAGCTTTCTGGATTAGGGTCTTATGCGTGATTTTGACACCCGTAGCCAAAGTTATTGCCAAAAGACTGAAGCACACTCAAAACAGCCCCAATGAGGAACATATCACAATCAATTCCCGCCTTTGCGCTGATCTGCCAACTCATGATATCTCAGTGCCATCAAGGTGCAATCTGACAGCTCAACATCATCTGTCTCGGATCTCTCTGCATCACAAAGGCATAGCAAAAGACAATTTCAGGAAGATGAACTTATTCTCCAAAACAAGTGTTGTACTAATGGATAATTAATCAATATACTAATAGAACACTTTCACATTTTTTTCCATTGACTGAAGAAATATCATCTCCTGGAAGAAAGAAATATTACCTTTATTAACTTCTGGCTTTTGGTGGATGTTCATCATGATTGGAACAGATGGTCCAAACACATCTGCATCAAGCACTCCTACCTTCAATCCACACCTGTTAGCTAATGAAACCGCCAAATTAACTGCAAATATTGCAAATAAACCAACATGAGTGAAAGAAATCCCTGGAAAAATGGTATTCCTAACCCATGAACATGAAAAAAGAATAGATTACCAGCAGTGATAGACTTGCCAACACCACCTTTACTAGAGGCAACAACAATCACATCGTTAACTCCTTTAATTCTCAACTGATCGTTTCTTAACACTGAATAATTCTTAACACCCCCAAGCCTCTGCGCAAAGGAAAAACTCAATGTTTGAATCAACCCAAAAACAAAAGTCATTTTCTCAACAAGAAATGAAGGTTTAATTATCAATGATCTAAGTGATATTAGTGAGGTTTGATAGAAGAATCAAGAACATATACAGTTCATCTAATCCCATAGATACAAAACCAGACCATAAAATCCACATTATCAAAGCACAAGCTATAGATTCGAAACCGTAGGATTTAGAAACCCAGAAAAAATAGATAAAACCAGTCGATAGATTAGAGTTTTCCTCCAAACAATTCAAACGCAAAAGCTTGAAAAAATAGATCTAATGGCCAGAAAAAAGGGTTTTCATAAGTGAATAGCAGATACTATTCGCACCTCAAATCAGAGAGTTAAGCGTTGATGGCGACACGTTGGAGGCCTCGACAGCTTCGACCGGCGATGAGCAGCACTAGTTTTGTGTGGATGGAAAAGATGAAAAAAAGGGAAAAGGGATTTGAAAAAATAGATCTAATGGTGAGAAAAAAAGGTTTTCATAAGTGAATAGCAAATGTTATGTTCGGCGGAGATGGGCAAGAGGAAAAGGGGATTGTGGGAATAGATGGAAAAGGGGAAAGGGATTTGAACAATTAAAATTATCAAATATTACGGTGTTTGTTGATATAAACGCCACCATTTATCATTTTATAGCGGCGTTTTCTAAAAAAACGCTGCTAAAGTACATGTATTTGCGGCGTTTTTACAAAAAACGCCGCTAAAGTTATAATATATTGCATCGTTTATTGGAAGAAAAAAAATTCACTATAGGTGAACCCTATTGTGGCATTTTTTAAAAACGCAGCTAAAGTACTAATTTGTTGTAGCGTTTGTCGAAAAAAATGCCACTATAGATGGACCTATTGCGGAGTTTGTATAAAAACGCCGCTAAAGTAATACTCTGTTGTGGTGTTTGTGGAAAACAATGCCACTACATATGTACCTATTGCGACGTTTATATAAAAATATCGCTAAAGTACTACTCTATTGCGGCATTTGTTTAAAAAACGCCGCTAAAGTATCATTTTATGGCTTTTAGATTGTAAACGCCGCTATATGTTTAAAGTTTGCGGCGATTACTTTCCAAACGCTGCTAAAAGCGCTGCTACAGAACAATTTTACTGTAGTGACATCAAGTTCATGAAGGAGGTACTCTCGAAGAAGCAAATGCTTAGTGAATTCAAAATTGTTGCACTCATTGAAGGATGTAGTGCCAAAATTAAAGGATCCAGGGAGTTTTACTATCCCTTGTGTTATTTGTAATCAATTTGTAGGTAGAGCATTGAATTATTTAGGTTTCAACATTTATTTAATGTCTCTATCTATTTTCAGGAAACTTGGCATTGGTGAGGTTTAACATACTGTTGTGACACTTTAACTTGTTGATCGATCCATTGTTTACCTTGAGGGCATAATAGACAACGTGTTGATCCAAGTGGATAAATTTATTTTTCCTACATATTTTATTGTTCTAGATTATGTAGCTAACAAAGAAGTGTCAATCATACTCAACAGACTATTCCTTGCTACAAGCAAAGTAATAATCAATGTTAAAAATGGAGAACTTACAATGCGTCTTAATGACGAACGCATTACATTTAATGTTTTAAATCCTTTTATGAATGATGATAATGTTGAATGTCATTCAATTAACATCATTAATGAAATTTTGTAGGAACATATGGACAAATGTTACAACATTGAGATTGATACTCCTGATGTCGCATCAATAAAAGAATTAGATGACTCAGATCATAAAGAGACTAAGTCAAACGAGGGGAACCGATGCTTCTACCTTGGTATCAGTTGTAACTCCACACCTTTAATACCGACTATAGAGTCGCAACATGAGCACCTAAGGAAAATTGCAAATGCTATCATGGTGCAGAATGACAAGCAACATCGAAGGCAACAAGGAAGGTTTCGCAAGGCTTTGACGATAAAGGTTCTCATATGAAAATTCACCTTGTGAAGCTGCAGCATCTCTATAGTTTCAATGAAGAAGTGCCCTTCATGACTGATTCCGAAAAGCAAGAGATTTGTTGTGTACAATGTTTCGATCCCACAAGCACAAAGGACCTAGGGAATTGTGATGATGCCACAACAACTATCGACAAACATAAAAGAGAATTATTTTATTGGGATCCAAACGAAGTTACCACAACCTTCCATTTCACTATGTGAAATCATATTTTCTACATGCTTTCAATAAGTAAATTATGTGATTAGATTAGATTTTTTAGTTTTATTTAATAATTTTTCTTTTTCTTGATATTTTCTTTTTTAGGCCAGGTTTCTACATCGATCGTCACACCATCGTTCATCGTATATTGTCTTTGCTTCACATCATCAGTTGGAGTTACAAACCACCATTTCTACCAGTACCCTTTTAAATTCCATATTGCATCGCTACATAGCATTCGTAATGCATCCACACAGTCATTGCCACACAACATCTTTACTAACACTAGGGGAGTATTACCGTCCCTTTTCCCTTGTTTTATTTTATTTTATTTTATTATTCTCTTTGTTTGCATACATTGAGGATAATGCATATCTCAGATTTGGGGGGTCGTTCATTTTGTCATATTGCATTTGTTATGTCATGTTTTGTGTTTTGTAGTGTTTGTGTTGTTCATTCAAGTTTTCCATGGCATTTAATTTTCATGACATTTAGATAGATAAACAATTGCTGAGATTTTGCACTTACCTATAATGAGATAATTGTCGATAGCATTTTAATGCCAATAATCTTAAGATTAAGAGATAATTTGAGATTGCCTTAATGATTCTTATGATGCTATACTTATTTACCGAATGTCGTGCTTGGTTCACCTATAGGTATTTTGGAGAATATTTAGTTATCTTTCATGTTTAAAAAATGAAAAAAGAACCCAAAAAAAATATATCTTGTTAAGTTTTGTGTGAATTGGTAGAGGTGCCAAACTGGCTCTGCCGAATAAATTGTCACAACAATTTTTTTAGCTCTAGAACACTCTGTTGCTAAGGCAAGTTTGGTGCACTTAGTGAATACTAAGTAGGAAATATAGTTATGAATAACATGAGTGAATGAAAGTCTTCATGGAATGACTCTACCTAAAAGGCTAGGAGGTTCGTTGTTGACAACATCTTACTGCTCAAGTACTGGCAAGTATTTGTGATGAGCTAAAGCTCTAGTTAAACTAAATAGTAATTGTTGGGACATATTTTGCTTTATTAATTACTTTGATAATTATGATATTCTCTGCAAATACCTATGGTGGTGAACCTTCTAGACTAAGAGAACACATATACACGAGCATAATATGTTGATTTGAGTTGATTTCTTGTTGTCTTGAGGTTTGAAGGTGATTGGCATAAAATTGCTAAGGGTCTGAGGTGACAGGTGCAAATCAAGTGTAAGAGTGATGATGTCTAATTGTCGTGAGAAAGTTGTTTTCATGCATTGCTTGAGGACAAGCAAACACTTAGGTTTGCATGTGATAACTCTTCAAAAGAATTATATTTTAGATCATTTTTACTTACGTTAAGTTTGCACTCTAGCATTTTTAGGATCATATTTAGATTTTTTAGCATATTTTACATCATTTTCATATTGGGAGAAAATTATTGGTACTTGGGCTGATTTTGATGTTTTTACTGTAAATTGATATATTGATGATGTGACATTGTTAATGTTGTAGCCGTTGTTATATGTCATGTTGGACTAGATTGCTAAGACAATTCTGAAGCATTGCTCAGTCACATGGCGGTTGGAGAAATATTAGGAAGTGATAAAGATGCAGGATTAAAGGTTGGAATTTGAATTTAAAAATGAATTATCATTAAAAAAGGGGTTTTTCTATTGGTGGAAAGTTTGCTTTGATGGGCTATAAATATAATATTTTCTACACACTTTTCCCACCTAGGAAAACCATAGCTTCCTTTTTTTCCTACCATCAACATGGCCGCCTAAGTCATTCATCGGGGAGTGTACCAGTAACATGGCGATCGATCGAGATTCAAGCTTTTCTTAGAATTCTTTCATTGAAAAAGGGAAAACTTTTCTAAGTTTGAATTATTTAATTTTACGTTGTTATTTGGGTTTGAACATGAGGTATTCGATGAAATGCCTACTTTATGATTTTTTCTTTGAATAATATTTTTATAAGTTAAGTTCTTTTAATGGATGTTTTTAGAGATGGATTCATCCTTATGTTTGCTGATCTTAATTTTTTTTAGAAATATAAATTGTTGAGATTTCATGCTACTTTAGTTTTAGCATTGGTGTTTACGAAAGTAAAGTTAAACATATGTAGATGTATGTTGTCGATAGCCTTTGCTTTATTAATTGTTTGATCGATTATTTTAATGAAAGTTCATTATGATTGGTTAAGTGTTTAATTCTTGAAGGAGAATTAATGTGCTAATTGTTGCATGACTCATAACAGTATTTTCACAACATAATCGTACTGTTAGCTACCAGATAACAACAATAGTATTTGGTCCATTGGTCTAACTGCTCCACTGCTCTCTATAGCATTCCCCTATTTTTATCATTATATTTTTAGTACTTTGCTATCTTTTTGTTACCTACTTAAATACACATTACTTTTCTTTTCTTTTTGCCAACAACAACTTTTTTGTGACAAACACTGTCTATGGGTTTGACATCCGATACACTTTGTGTATCCACTTTAATACTTGAATACAATATGTATACTTGCATGATTGTTGTATCATTTATCGTAGCATCAGTAGCTAGAATGGAAGCCATTAGATTATTACTTGTTTTTGCATGTTTTAATAATTTTAAGCTTTATCAAATAGATGTTAAAAGTGTTTTTTTAAATAGCTTTACTAATGAAGAAGTTTATGTTGAACAACATCCCGGTTTTGAAGATTCAAAATTTCTAAACCATGTTTTCAAATTTTCAAAAGTTTTATATGGTTTGAAACAAGATCTTATATCTTGGCATGAAAAATTATCAAACTTTGTAGTTGAAAAAGGTTTTTCCCTAAAGGGAAGGTTGATACTACACTTTTTATTAAAA